CGGTGGGCGGTCGAAAGGACATTTCGGGGGTGGGCGCACCAGTTTTTCTGATCGGCCTCCTGGCTGCATGGCTGGGACGGTTCGAAAGAGGGGGCGCTCGGCGAGCCCGGCTCCCGGCTGAAAGATGCGTGCACTGGTGTTCGGCAAGTACCAATTTCCCGTGCATCTCGTCTGCGAGTCTTATAGCGCGAAAAGCGATCGCTCGACTTAGGCTCCGGACATTTTTCGCTGATCTAAATTTTGTCCTTGTCCGATTTAGCTATGACATTGGAAATTCCGCCAGAGTTAAAAAATGTTTGCGGGTTCTCGATTGCGTTAGAATCAGCGTTTCAGGGTGTAATCATCTTGCTGTGGTCGGCGTGTGTTGCACCATTTTTCGAAAGTATATAAAGTAACAAGCGTGCCACCCAAAGATAAGCTAACGTTTTAAATGAGTCTTATCCTATTATGGGGAAAATTCTCGCTGATTCCATACCCATCTGGATCATTGGACAGGAATTAAACCAATTTTAACCTCTTTTTTACGAAAATTTCCGATATTAAAAGGGCCCATTCAGCAGCTCCGTATTCCACGAATCGTGGAAAAATTGCTTGCAAAACGTCTGTGCTTCTCACCAGGGCGCACCCTCTAACCGGAGATTTCTCCACGTTTCATGGATAACCGGCGTTGCTGAAAGCGCCCCTTTGAAGGGCGATCATTTTGTTCTTCTCCGCTGCTTTTTCGAAAACGAATAATGTTATCGTGCTTTTCCCTTAAAATTTTTTTCGCTACCAACGGAGCCCCTTAACTCTAGATTGCCGAAAACTGCAAAAAAACGTCGACAAGATGGGCTCCGATTTTTGTATGGGAGATGGAAAAACTGACTATTTTTAGAAATCCGTAATAATTGGCCGTCTAGACTCTAGAGCCGGTATCGCAGCAAGAAAACATACCATTCGCATCTGTATAAAGGGCTCCCCGACACTTGCGCCCGCGACACTTGCGCCCCGGCACTTGCGCCCCGAAACTTGCGCCGCGCGGTTTACTATGGAATCAGGGCGCAAGTGCCGCGGTCCGAACAGACGAGGCGCAAGTGTCGGGGCGCAAGAGTCGTGGCCCCGATATTATAGCCATCGCGCGGCAACTCAGAATTGTGCTTAACTAGGGTGTGAGACACCAGTTTTCAAAGTTCAGGAACGATTGGATGTAACGGTCCAATGCCGGAGGATTGTTTTTTCAGGCACCCTGTATCAGATCGATCCCTATTCTTTTCTTCCATATTGCTGACTGCACATCGTATCCTCCCTAAGTTCAGGAATCAATCGATACCGACGTACAAGCGCGACCGTAGTCTTGTATGTCGACGGCGCCCTGGATCGAATCATTCGCAGCCTGGGACGACCGTTCGGCTGCATCATGCAACGTCAAAAGGGCAGAATATCGGACGTCTTTTTGCGGGTGGCGAGGGCAGCGGGGGACCGCCCTGGTGGGTGAAGCCGGCTAACCATTGGCATGGCATACGGTGGCTATCCCGGATAAAAAGCTTAGAGCCTCTCGTGCTCGTTAATTTGTGCAACGTTGCGTTTTTTTTACAGCTGCGCCTGGGTCGCTCTTTAGTACGACGCTTATAAGATCAAGCTGCATATATTTTCTTAATATTGTTAAATACTGTAGTTTTGCTCTAAAACTATTGTCTATAAGGGTAGTGAACATTTTTTAGAATGAGCATCCAAGCCACGGCGTGCCCGAAGAAGGTCGCTAGCTTGGAATTTGAAGATGATGCGCGAATACCAGAGAAATTACCCCGTAAGTCTTTGAAAAATTGCCAATTTGAATGGGAAGTTGGAGCTCTGCAAGGCCCACGATTTTCCTTCGGCTTTCTAATGCTAATTCATGCTCTTCTTCAGCCAGACAACAGTCATTCCGCCACGATATTGCCGTCCTGCGAGCTTTAGCTATAATTGCTGTGTTTGGCTATCATTTCATGCCTCGTGTTTTTCCCATGGGATTTCTGGGAGTCGACGTGTAAGCTTCATCTTTAGAACATCGCATCGCTTCAGGTTTTTCATAATTTCCGGGTATTTAATCATGGGCATCCTCACCAAAGACACCCAGCCGCCGGCTAGAAAGCTGTACACTTTTTACTATCGACGGCTGAAGCGCATATTTCCTTTATTTTACTTGGTTTTAACGTTAATAGGTAAGAAATGGCATACAATTTCCTACCTGGGTTTTTCCAGCGATTGCTATACTATTCCTGTACACAACCGCTTTCCGAAGGCTGTATTTAACGCATTTGCGGTCGGCTTCTTTTATGGGTTTTAACCTGGAGATGATGTGGAATGAGGCCAATTATTTTAATCAGGTACGTGCAGTTTTCTACTGCAATTAAAGCACAAATTCAGAACCTGGAAGAAATGCCGTTGCTCCATTTATGGTCACTCGGTGTTGAGATCCAATTTTATGCGCTAGCACCTCTAATATTCTATCTAGCGCAGATTCGATATAAAGGTACGGTGTTAATGGCTCTAGTCTTCAGTGAAAAAAAATACATTAATAGATTTTATTTTATATTTCCTTAAAATTTTGCAATATTTAGAGTACGATTTTGGTCCCTTTATTCTGCTATTTATTGCCGGTCTATCATTCTACAAACATTTGACGGACATCGACACTGATGCCTTCTACAATCCGCTCTCACGATTATGGCAATTTTTAGCTGGGATGCTGTCAAGTCAATTGTCGATTAATTATAGGGAAACGATGAAGAAGCTGGCGGGTTTGTATAGTTTTATTAAGTAGCTATAAATATAATACTTTGGAGCCACGCGTACGGACGCGTCGCGTTTCGTATTCTCGCGCGGTCGTTATCTAGCGTCTAATTTTACTGCGACGTGTTTTAAGGAGCTTTTTTTACCTGAAAGACCTTTCTGTACTGTAGTCAACGTAGGGTATCGTATTGTAGCGTAGGCTGGACCACCGTAGCCTCGCGACAGGCCACGCACCCGTACGCATTCACGATAATGCTGATATTAGAATCGAGCCCATCCATAAAGCTTTTTATTTGGATTCTGATGGTGTTTTCGTTTAATATAGCTGGTGTATCGTAACGTAGTGCACCGTAGCGTAGTGTATCGTAGTGCCAACTTGGCTAGCTTCACATTAGTTTATTTATTCTAATGAATCCAGCGCCTCAAACAACCTTTTCAGACGAAGGCTCTTGGCTTCACACCTCAACTGTGCTCATCTTCTTATCCCTATTCCTCTGCTTCACACCCCTACGATATCCACTTGAAATCCAAATCCTAACGACCATCACTGGCGCGCTGTTCATCTTCTTGGGCTCGACGTGGTAATTCGATTAACATTTCCTAATTTTGAAATTGTCTGTTCTAGCAAAATCGATTGGTCCCAGTTGCGCCTTGGCTATATCGCCACAATCTCCTATGCTCTTTATCTTGTGCACTATCCAGCGCTGCATATGTCAAAATATTTGTTAAAGTATCAGGATATGCACCAGATTCCAGGTTGGTGACTCCGGAGCGATGACTAAAAGAGTTCATAAGATGTCGTTGTTATACTGATTCCGAATGCAACTCTTTTTTGTCTAGGCCCTTCAGCTTTCAATATACAGGGTGTCCAAAAAACCCCACGGCATGTGGCCGTCTTTTGTCGGATCTAGACCAAATTTTGACCAGCGATGGGAAGCATGAAAACATGTGCAGCCGAATTTTCTAACAATAAGCAAAATATTGTAAAACACGAAAGATATCAAGAAATTAAGGTTTATTTTGCCGATTTCACTAGGATTTTGACGGATTTGGACCTCGAAATGTTTAGCAAAAATGCAGAGCTCAGTATTCCTCTAAAGGCGCTTTTTCCACGCGGGTAAATTTTTTTATTTACGAAAATTACATCTAAATTGCGACTTTTGATCACTTTTTATTAGCAAAATTGGCAGAAACCGACTCGAAAATGACCATTTTTCGGAAAATTGCGAAAACATATATGATCCATACAAGTGCCGGCGTTTTCCAAAGCTCAGTTTTTAGCGATAACTTTTTTTTTGTTTTGCAATATTTTGCTTAGAAAATTTGGCTGCACATATTTTTTAAGGCTCCCCATCGCTGTTAAAAATTTAGTACCAGGGCCAAATGCCGAGGGGATGGGGGTTTTGGGACACCCTAGATAGGCTTTTTTGCGAAAATTCCACGAAATAACTCTGAGCAATATTACATTTGCGGAGCCAAAAAAAACATGGAGAATCCGAGTCACAAAAATGCAATTTTACTTCCCGGCGCAACGCGTTATTTTTAATTTCAAGCAAATTCTTCCGTTCTATGATACCTCCTCACGCAATGCAGCTTCAAACAGTCTCTCATTCTAGTCCCTCTCGTCGGCTTCATCATCTCCATTGTTCTCGGCATTCTGGTGCATCATCTCTACGAAAAACCACTACTTCACGCCAAGAAAGCCGTGATCCTTCCACTGGTTGCCTGCCTCTTCGCCGCGTCATTCTCGATCGATTTTGGGTGGCGTCAGGGGCTGCTGAACCGGAATAGTGGGGCAATCAACGTTGTTATAATTTGTAGATTAGGTTCCGACGAAGCTGTCCAATGGAATTTGGACCGTATGAACTACTACGTCGGGAAGAACATCAATTTTTCGTTCGTCGATCCAGAGCTCACGGGGCCAATGGGGCATGGACATTTGGTGGTACGTTGTGCAAGATACCTTAACTTATTACTAGTCAGAATCTAACAGCCGGCTGTACGTTAAGTTGTATTTGCCGGAAAAAAAGAATGTTTTCCCGGGAGTGAACTAAACTTCATAAAAATCTGTTTTAGGATGGCACCGGGAATATCAGTATTTTCTTGCTGGGAAATTCGTACGCCCCGCAGCGGGTTACGGTAAATTTTCGAGAGCTTGCGTATACCTTTTGGCTTGTTGTTAGGTAATAGAACGGGCTATCCCGGCCACCCTACGGTCGACTTTCGAATTTTTTGCAACTCCAGGAAAGATGCCGCTCATCGACGAGTGGCCAGGTAGGGATATTAATAGTAGCATGTGATTAGAATATTCTGAACCTTAACTCCACCAAAATCATGGATATAAGCAAAAGTTTCTGGGCCCTACCCATTTCTCCTTAGCGCTAATTCTCGAATTCGGGATTGGGGGCTCAATTTTAATCGCATGATTCCAGTACACACCGAAAAAGCCTGGAGTGCCTTAGAGGAAAGGCGGCCCACAATTGTCATTATATCAATGAGGTACCTTAAGCTAACCAAATTTAGAGAATTTTAATCTGTGTAATATCACGGCAAAATATAATGATTCATGTTTAGATATGTGTTCCGACATGGAGACTATGACCGCTTTGGAAAAGAGGGCAAAGATCCACGATCGCAGCGATTTTTAGAAGTTTTACAGCGCTTGAGGTACGGATTTGCACGAACTAGCGCTATGCCATGACCCAAGAAGTTCCCGCTTCCGTTTCCGGATCCTATATCTTTTTTTAGCAACCTAACGCAGCGGATCTTCATCGACCTCGACTTCCCGTTCAGCTGCGAGATCCGATCGCGCCCCTACCTCCCAAATATGAAGAACTTCATGTCCAACTATTTGGACCGTATCGAGAGAGGGGTCGAAGTCGACTCAATGCATATTCCGATGAATGTAAAAATTCCCATAACTCTGCAAAATTTCATCACCCTTTAGGTCAAGCAATTCGAGCAAAATCCCACCCGAAATCGGCTGCGTTGGATTAAGAAAAAGTGCAAGAAATGTTTTTTGGTCAATGTACAACAATCTTTCATTGGTATGCGCACTTTTAAACCTTATTTGCCGATCTAGACCATCATCTCGGGGTTTTCAAGACGTTCAACCCGGAGACAAGGCATTCATACATTGACGATGGATGTCATTTCACAGAAGATGGGCTGGCATTAATGATAAAGCCACTGCAGCGAGCCCTTCGTGAAGGTCTGCCAAGGAAGATGGATCGCGCTGTGATTGAACGAGAGCTGGAGAAACCGTGACAACCCTAGGAACACAATTGATAGACATTTTACAATTGAATTTTCGGGTCAATTTGCGAGATAAATGATGTCCTGCATTGCTATTCCTCATGGACCAAAAAAGGAACTGCCGATCCAGCAGATGTGAATAGACAACAGAGAATTAAAAAGGGACCGGCATCAAAGTTGTCACGGATCAATCAAGTTAGGGGTCCCAGTAAAAAAAAACCCTATAACTCGACGGAGAAGTATAGGATCATCCTGAAAGTTACACCATTCGATAGCGCGCGAAAAGGCGAGTTTGCAACAATCTTCAAAAGCGTGCTTTTAGTTAAACCCTCTATCTTACAAGCCATTTTGTAAATTTCATGGTTTTTGGGGTTGCATACGAGATAATTTGCCTCAGTTTCTGCACGTAAAATAGCGGGTGGTTGCCGCAGATGCGGTTCCTTATTTTTTTAGATGCCATTTAAAATCGAGGATTTTAGATACAGACGTGGTTTGAAGATTGTTGGAAATTCGCCGTTTCAAGCGCCTTCGAATGATGTAACTATCATTCTGCTCCGACTCCGACTCCGACTCTATTTAGAGGGGGTGTTTTTATTGGGAACCCTGAAAATAATCATCTAGACAATGCAACTTCAAATCGTGCTAATACTTTATTCTTTTTGGCGCCTATCAGTTATTCGGATTTATATTCGATAGGCTTAGGCTTTGGGGACGCAGAGTCCCTTGGCCTTCGGGAGGCACGGCGCGGCGGCTGGACAAGCTGAGCAGATGGCTCCGGCTGGGTAGACGGCTACATTGGCTGTCAGACCTCTGAAAATTGAGAGTAAAATATGAGGTTTACAAATTTATTTCTGTTGCTCTCTCTCTCCCTCCTTTTCTCACGCCCTCTCACTCTGTCGCTGTTGAATTTGACGTCAAAAACACGTACCTTGGCGTCATTTCGCATACCACCGACCAGGTGTTATCAGTCCCAGTTCCGTTGCGGTAGGCGCATCCGATTTTTTGGGAGGTACCGGCGAGAAGCTGGAAAATATGTCAATTAAGCAACTACTGGCGCGTGAAACCGAACTGCCAGGTAAGCGCTACGAACTCAGCTTCTTCGTTTTCAGAGCCGTATTTTGTTACTCCAAACCCAAGGCAAAGCAAACGTCTTCACCTGATAGGCCATATTCTGGTATTGGTTATCAGACTTGGCGTAGGCCATCTTCGGCAGACCAAAGCTCTGCAGCCAGCCGAACCACGATCCGGTCCAGGCTTTCGTGACTGCAAAGGATTCCAGTTGCAAACCTTTTTCAGTTATCAACGCTTCTCCGACCGTTTTTGATAATTCGGAAATGAGCTCGCAGCATTATTGGTGTCTCTGAGAAACTCACACATCTGAGCGGCCGTGTAGGTGTTGGGGGCGATGCCGTACATGACACCGTGGGTCAGCTCTCCGTAGGTGGCCGGCTGGGCAAAGGTCATGTTGTGGCTGGCTGCAGTGTACGTCTTCAGGCGGTTGACGGCCTGGGTGGCGAGGGTGGCGTCCCATTTCTAAAGCCGTCGTCTTATCACTACACTTTGAACTACTCCAAGTTGCTTTTGGACGCAGCCAAGCGAATAGCGAAAGCGAGCCATGGAGAGCGAGAGCGAGAGCCAGAGAGAGAGAGAGAGAGAGAGAGAGAGAGAGAGAGAGTGTGTGTGTGAGAGAGAGAGGAAGCATAGAGAGATATATAACCTACCAAGCTGTACAGTTTTGTGGACTTGGGGTAGGTCTTATTCCATGGAGATGGCTCTCCCTGAATCTCATAATCATAGTCCACGGTGTAGTTGGCCCAACGCAACACTCCTCTGGCCGCTTGCGAGCGGACGCTGTTGAAGTTCTAAAGGTTCTTAAATCTTGGATTCTAAGTGACGACATACGTTGACGATTTGTGTCTGCACAGCAGCCGGAAAGACGGCGACCGTAGCGGTGGTGGCTGAAAATCAAAATTAAATATTATGTTGAATAGGCCTAATTCTCGCATCATCGAAGCCTACTGTAAGTTAAGCCAAAGCCAAGCCTAAGCTAGACCGCGACTACCCAAACCGAAGCCTGAATTACGCTTGAGCGAAGCCCACGTCGCATACGCGAACCGAAGCCAGGTCTATTGTCAAGCCTAGTTCAAGTTATGGCTTCGCGAAGCCTAAACTAAACGTATGTCAAGTGTAAGCCAAGCGTAAACTAAGTCTAGGCAAAGCCTAAGCTAAGCCAAAGCCAAGTCTGAGCCAAATAAAAGCTCTAGTTAGTGTATCCGTTTAAAAACTCACCGCAAACAAAGCAGACCAGCGAAAGTACGAGGGCGTACAGCATTTTTCTTGAGATGGACGACCGATGACCCGATGGTGAAGTTGCCAACTCGCCCTTGGCTTTTATACCAGCTGGGACCGATTTTGAGGGCCAAGGACCAGAACCTGGCCCCCAGCTCGCTCACGAACCCAGTGGAACACAATAGCAAAAGTCCAATTTCGGGGGGTTGGAGGCACACTGTTCACCACCAGCTCGATCCACAAAAAAGCGCCATGCTGACTTTTTCCTGCCCTCGACATGTTTAATTTGATTTTCGGCATTGTGTGGCTAAATTTGGGGAGGTTTCGGTGATTTCTGGGTGTTGTAGGGTTTGCAGGGTGGTTATTGTTCGAGTTTCGACACTTTTGTGACTTCAAAATTCCTCAATATTTCGAAGTTTGCGGTTTATGCGCTACGACATTATTTTTGAGCGCAACAACGGATTTTCTGTATTTTCTAGGTGATTACATTTATTGACACTTGACTAAAGCACCCGATTACACAAAGCGAGCCGTAAAATACGGTAGCACCACAAAAAGGCACGACATCGGAAATATACAAATTTTAATAGTTTTGATAATGTTCTAAAAGCCAAAAGCCGCATAATCTGAGGCGTAGATGGCCCTGATGAGATCCCTGGTTCGTTTTCTTCTTAAAATCGCACGCCTCCAGCCGGCTTGTCTCCTCGCATTTCGGAAAGCATGGTTCGTGCTCGAGTTTGTGAGGTGACGAAGAGCCTGAAAAAAGGTTGATTTTTGTGTTTGTTTAATTTCAAGGTAAAATTGCCTTACTTTGATTACATTAACCTTTATTTTACACCATTTCTATGTATTCAGTCAGCTGAATGCGTTATTGCATACCTTAAGCGAGTAATTCCTAGGGACTCCGGCTCTCCGGAAAACCCTATGTAGCTGCCGTGCCATGTCTTGACTATCATTAGAGTAGTAGACCACATCAAATTTCCGATGTTGCGTTCGAAGACTACAGAATCTGAAATATTATAAAATATATCGTTTAAAGCACCAAAACTTACGCCGTTTGTGGTCTTGCGTGGTAGCTGATCACCGGGTTGCGATACACAAAATTCTGGCTCCCGCGAAAAGCCGTATAAACGGCGTGCGCAAATTGATGAATATTCGCCCTGCCGCATCTTTTGAGAAGTCTAAAGGTACGTTTTAATCAGCATTATAATATTCTGAAAGCATGCAAAATGTCGAAATCCACTATCATAATGCAAAATGCCGAAATTCATAATCTTGCCAAGATAATTCCGAATTCTTTTGATATAAGCTGAGGTTTTCCCGTGGAATTTGTCTCATCTAAAATCGACACGCCCAATTACAATCTTGTAAGGTATATTCGAAAGTATGAAATTTCACATTATGAATTTCGTCATTTTGAAAGAAACCCAAGACCCGAAGGTAGAATGTAGTTTCAACTGCCTCAAGGTATCGCATAGATCCCACAAGTTCCAAGCCCAACACCCACATGCAAAAATGCCCGTAAAGCGATACGAAACGGTCCACCGGGTCGCGTACAATCGTAAATTTGATCGGTCGCCCGCGCCGATGCCACCGCTCCCCCCGATTCCGCCAGAACGCCGGCGGCTTCGCGTTGCAGTGGCTAAACCGGATACGGAACTCTTCGTGTTTTGCTTGGCCTGGGCAAAACTGTACTTAATGTTTTTAGTTCGTACAAGCTCAACGAGCAATGTAACAAGCACTTTCCTTACAGTTTTGAGTAGTATCTATTTACTACGTCAAAAATAGAACATTTTGATAACTTTATACGCTATGTATAAAATTAAAACACAGGCTTATAAAAACTTTAACAATGTCGAAGGTTAATTAAATACATAAATTTTGGTAAGCGTTAAAAATTTCATGTTTCTTTGACAAATATCAAATATTATTAAATGGATTGAGCAATAATAAAGATTTTACCTCCTGCCAAGTTTCTCCCCGAAATGCTGTTTGTAAGGAATCCCATGTAAATCCTTCCGAATATCGCACATTATTTGATCAGCAATTGTTGAGCCGGTTTTCGGCACTTGGCAATACGATAAACCAATGCCAGTATCACGCTAAATCAAAACTTCTAGCAAGATTTATGATGTTACGCTACCAAACTATTGGCATTCCATGTCGAGGAATATCTTGGAAGCCGCTTGCCTAAAAACATAGATGAATATTACGGCTTACTAAAATTACGACTTCCAGGACTTTACGGCCAAATTTTTGGACAGAAAATTGGACCTAAAAATTATATTTACTCACCATAAATGCCAATTGATAGCCAGCAAAAGATTATAATAAATATCTTAAAATGTGCAATCATACTGCCGTCAAAAAAGGTGGAACTGATGAAAACGTGGTTGGCACGCCGTATCAGGACATCCCCCCCCCTGCGGGTCGACGTCAGTTTTTTTTCGGAGTGGGTTCGGACTTGATTTCTCGGCGGTTGCCCGGTGGCTCTTGCCAGCGCGTCCGTACGGACCGGAGGACGCTTGTTCGCCCATGCGTTCCGATGATTTCCGAGGGATTAATTAGAGCCTGCGGGCTTGGGGGAATGAACTTGGGCGAGGTTTATCGGGTGGCTAAATGCGGTCGCAAGCTAGCTGGGAACTGGGGGTGTTGATTGTTCTGCAGATCAAATAAATTCTATTTAAAATGTGCTTCGCTATCAATTTAGCGCTTTTTTTTGATATTGTGAACCCTAACTCTAGAAGGATCTGATGCAGAAGGTGGACAACCAAAAATTTCGTTCCGTCAGAAACACGGTCGCATTAAACAGTCAAAAATCGTCTCGTCCGCGCTTTCTGAGAATTGTAGTATACTTTCAAAATAATTTATTTGTGTTTCATTGAGTAAAAACGGCTTCTTGGTAGGCGCGAAGCAAGCGGGCGCGTCGTTGAATTTCCCGCAGCATCCGCGCCATAGCAGTTCGGCACTCTCCCAACTGAATTACTATCATTATCATCGATTGTCGAAATTTGGTATCGATTCATCAGCTCTAACGCGAGTGCGAGGACAAAATTTTTAGCTTAAAAAGCAGCTTAACCTACCACTTCATCCACTTCCGCCAATTCCGCCTCCGGATCTGGGGAATCCACGACAGTTTCGCGCAACATGTCCCGCAGTTTATCGTGGGCGGCTAAAATATCGAACGAAGTTATGCAAAACTTAATGCTGTATTAAGGTATCTCAAGGTATCAAAGGTATCGCAAGCTGGGTACGGTTCTATTTGGCCGGGGGCAAGTTAATAAAAATTCGCATAACCTTTTTATTTCTCGTTATTCCGGGCTGAAATCGTACTCTTAGTATATTTTTGGGCGCTCTATCGATTGGCTTTTAAGGAATCCTGTAAAAATGATAACAATGTCGAAAAATGGTAGCGTCTCAACCCCGTTTTCGAAGATTGGTTTTGTAGTTGCTATAACTTTTATGTATAATATTGTTTTTGAGCTATCGTCAAAACTTTAGTATATTTGTCGATGTTTTATAAAAACGCAAATAGAAATCCGACAAAGTAGCGGAAATATCGAAAAACCCTACTGTTGTGCTGTACGAAAAATAGAACAGTGCCGCAAGATGTTGCTACCTTTCATCGCCTCCATCCGCTCCATCCACTGATGCAGATCCTCCACCTCTTGATCAAAGTCAATGCGCTGAAATATAGTCTTAATTCGATTCGAAAATCAACATGGTACAAACCAACGTTATCTGGACGTACTTAAAGGAAATTAGACCATCGGGGGACTTTTAAGCCTAAAACTGAAAGCGAAACGACAAACCTGAGCAGTGGCAAGTTGAGGAACCTGAGCGGGAAGACACATCGTTGTGAATAGAAAACGATGGGTTTTGAAAAATTGCAGAATTTGGAATGAGGTATCCGAGTGGTAAAAACTGACCGATATCAAGCCTTCTTTAACATCTGCTCGCGTATATACATTAATGGTATCGGCGCGCGCAATTTCGAGCCGATAAAGAGTTCCCTGGTATGAGAATGATTGTTAAAATTAGAATCGATTCCCTATCACCTGTTCGAAAATGGTCATTTTTGATACCATTTCTAGGCAATTCCACATGCAGGCCCGTAGCGGAACCGAAATTTCGGGGGGGCAAAATTTTGCGACCCCCCGTCGCTACGTTTAAAACATCCGAAAATCGCGTCAATAATAGCGCCGCAGGCAAAAAAAAATAGCAAAAACGCGTTCGCTACACTCAAATTCGTGTGAAAACACCGCAGAAAACGCGCCGCAGGCAAAAATTTTTTATGAACAATTGATTCAGCAATGAAAAACCAGCGCCGCAGGCAAAAAATGTTGAAAAAAATAGGCTTCATATAAGTAAAAACTGTTTGAAAAACAGTAATAAACAGGGCCGCAGGCAGAAAAATTTTTGTAACTAAAAATCATAAGGGTCCCCCCTTATGAATTTTTCGGACCTCGACCGATTTCGGGGGCCCAGGGCCCCCTGGGCCCCCCCCCCTCCTACGGGCCTGTCCACATGCAAATTTTTCGTACAGATGTCCTTTCTAGAAAATTTGGAAGAATTTGTTATAAGAATTTCATAATTTCACCACATGCACTCGCTTTAAACCAGCCTTATTTGACCATTTGATCGCTCCCTCGCAGGAGTGTTCCATTGACTTACGCGTGACGAATTTTTCGAAACCCCTTTTTGTTGTAGAAATTCAGGCGTGCACCGCCGAGTCATCAGATCGCCGTATCAACAGACAGACACGCCAAAAAAAACCGGCGTTAATCCGCGCTGCTAAGCAAGGATGACCACGCTGATTAAGGGCGTACACCAGGGTATTAGTGTAAGCAGCGACTTTTGCAAAGAATCCGCACTGTACCTGGCCCCGGACCTTGCGCATGATATCAGAACTTTTGGATTTTGACCTCACAGTTACAGGCTATATATTGTCCTACGTATGTCGTAATCGACCGATTTACATGGTTTTTTTCCGTGCAATAATCTGGTTTTTGATTCGTACTTTATACCTATAAAGATTTCGAGAGCCACAAATCAATTTCAGGATGTTGAAATATCGGCTTCTGCTCTTTTGCCCTACTATTCTAGCGATTCTGGACAAAACTCACTTCCAGCTAACCCAGGATAATCCATCCTATGCACTGCATGGATCAGCGCTCGAAATTAAAAAGGCAAAGAACTAAAAAATGTATTTAATTTTTTTTGTTAGAATTTCACCATATCTGGTTGCAAAAATTGCGAGCTAATCATCGACTACTCGGTTCATGAGTGTCAAGCATTACCGAAAAAGGTAGATTATTGGAAAATTAAAAATAGCAATGACAATCTATTTCTCGCGGTTTCAAAAATTTTGTCATCCAAATTCTAGACCGGCGATCCGACTTGTCGTGATCAGCTGCCGTTTCTGGTTGATGGTGAGGCGCTGGACATCAAAGGCTGTACAATGCTATGGTCTTGTCTGAGGCTTAAAAGCAATAAAATTCAAATTTTTAGGGCATTCTGCAGCGACAATTCCCAAGTTCAATACCAATGTCGATGGAGGAAGAATGTAACTGAAATTTCCATCGGATATATGGGGACAAAAAACAAAGCCGGAACGAATTTTGGGCTAGCTGTGCGAGTGGCGGATTGGGTTGATAGTTGGTTTTGCGAAGGGCGTACCGTTTCCTTGAATTTTTGTTCCTCGTTAATTAAAGAGGTAAGATCCATTTTACAGCTTCTCACCAATACCTGCTCTGGGCTGAAGGCCCAAGACCCGATTGCGACCCTGGTGTCATATTCAAAGGCCGACCGAACCAAACCATGACTTTCCTGCCGATTGTTGACAAGTAATGTAGTTTTTTACTTCTATATACCTCCACCTCGCCTTCAGAAAACTTTATGACACGACTCACCAGGAGACTCTTTTGACTTTCTCGACTGACAAAGGGGTATCGATGAGCTTTGAAATTCATGCTGGATCTGATCCCGGAAAGAGCACTGCGAACTTCTTGGGATTTATGAGGTAGATGATACCCCCGATATTCTGAGCCTCCGTAAAATGTACGCATACGTAATTTCATCCCCGCTGCAGCCCGAGCTCACTTGGTAACGACGACCTCACAAGCTACGCCAGCGCTGTCACCTTCATTAACAAATCTCCAGCCGTTTATTATATTACCAATTATGACTCGAAACGTGTTCAAGGAGGTCAGTTTCCAGACCGTTTTCCTACCCCTCCATCTTCTTCGTCTTGAATTTGCCACTGCCAAAAGACCCTTTTGTACTTCAGCCGCCCAACCAAAAATTGCCGTAAATACGAATACCACATGGACAAGCTGTAAGTACCCTTGGCTCTTTGAAGAAGATGTGCCGGACGTCTCTTCGATTAATTTCGGCCAGGGGGGTAAGATTTTATGAAAAATCGCGCCCATGACATCTTTTTTTTTTAGGAGACGGCGTGCTAATAACTGTGATATCGGTTGCTCGACTAAGCGGAGGTGTTCTGCAGTTTAGCGCGAAGGCGGATGCATTAGGAATGGGAAATCAAATTCAAAAGTTTTTGGCTTTTTATTCATTCGACGGGCCTTTCAGCGTTACCGGCGAAGACGCAGGAAAGGAGCTATCATTTCCTTACGGGCTCGATGAGGTGAGGGATTCGAATTTTGAAATGGTTGTTTGTCCAGGTTAACTTTTTCGCAGAGTCAACGGAACCTTCGGAAAGTGGCTTTCTATTGACAGCCCTTGCCACGAAGCAAGTCGACTCCGGGATTATACGCTCGGTTATTATCAGCCCCGACGTAGCAAATTTTCTTTTCAACGCTGCCGATCTATACGATCCCATGTAGGTAAAATTCCTGTGGGTTAGATAACAAACAAAACCTTAAAAAGGATTAGAAAAACAACTTCACCTTCAGAAAAGGTTTCGGCACGATCGGCGTGACCCCGCAGATCACGATGCGATCCATGCTATTCATCGAATTATGTAATTTGGTCGAACCTGATACAAAGGACGTCGTCAACATTGCATGGCTCGATACGCCAACGGAAAAGTATGCAAACGACGATTTAACGTATCTTTTCCGACAGGGCGGACCTGGGTCCTTACATGTTAAACTGCAGCAAGAACTCGCAGATGATGGTCCAAGGTCAGCCAGCCTTTTTCAACCTGTACAATTTGACGGGTTGGTCCTCGGTGTTGCCGAGCATACTTCTAACGCTACAGCCCATGGTCAAAGCCTTAAAGCATGAAGGTAAGGCAAAAAAAGCGGGGGAAAATTCGTTCAGCCCACGAGGTGCTGTCCGTGCCATTTGATTTTTATCGAGAGGAAGCCCTGAGCTTCCAAGTGCCAGAGACTAATGTGACGACGCGACTACTGCTTGCCCTACCCGGGCCAAAGGAAAATCCGTCAAAGACTGTTTTGGGTGCAGTATCAGATCAGCTTTACGTAGCCTATCTGGATGCAGTAATTTCGGTCAGCCTATTTGACCAAATTTTAAATTCGTAGGTTTTAGCCAACCCCAACTGTCAACTGCAGCTACCATTTTTATTCCGGTTTGGCACTTGGCGACAGTCGGAATGAGACGCAACCCCTCGCCACTTTCAGGTAAGTTTAGGAATTCGTTCCGGAAATATAGACATCTTGCAGCGGCTCCAACGAGTTCACGCCAATACTTTTATCTTCGGGCACTTTCACTATTGAGGTTCCGGCGGGTTGCGCGCCAAAAATAAAGCTGAGCAGAAAGCGTAGGCCTTGTTCTCAGAGCTGCCCTAACCATAAAGTTTAGCAACGGCCAGTGGTCAAAATTTGGTCGAAAGTATAGATTGCAATGGATTGGTATTGGCACTAGGTCCGGGATATCAACAACAAGTCGTTACGCTGGCTAATGCGCATGCGAGCTCTTACGTTTGGAACTGTGGTGAGTTTTCAGTCTCAAGCCGCCACCAAATGAATGCCAGCTCCAAACGCTGACGTGATCTTCGAATTTGTCGACATCAAGAACGGAAAATTGACTGCCGAGTTTCTCGACGAAAACGGAAAGGTGTTGGAGAAGTATGAATCAAATCCCAGTCATTCTAATCGTTATGAATCTTTAGAGATTCCTACAGCAAAGACGGATCGGAAAGTGGGAATTCTCGGGTGGTCAAGAACGTTACGCGAATCACGGTGAGTGGCTTGGTCCAGACTTGTTTGATTTATTTTTTAGCTTGGCTACAGCGATGACGACTGGGAAGATTCCGGGTTCTTCGCAAAAATTCATTTTACACAGCGGGATGTGGAGGCCACGACCGTGGATGTGGAAGCTACGACGACCTCGGGGACCGGCAAAAACTTTGACCATTATTGCTTAATTTTCCTTTGCTTTTTCCTAAGCCGATTTATTGGCAGTGATGACGGCACTAATTATGTAGAATAAATGCATCACAGGGTGCAGAAATGGGCCCCGGCCATGGCTCGTCAACTCATAAGTAGCGCCGAGCGAATACCTGAAAAATGTTGACCCTTCCTCACCCCTTAGGGCCTACTGTATCAGCAACTCCGTGCCGCAGCCATTTAACGAGCCACAACGCCACGTATAATTTAGGCGTATTCGAGCAGTTTTGAAGGAATATTGGCATGATGTGCTATAAGTGCTGAATCTGAAAGGCACGATACGGACAACCAAGTCTTGTCAAACCCACGTTTGGGGTTTCCCGTTAGCATTGTTAAGGTCACTAATTTCTAGCTTTGAGCCAGCAGGTAACCTCGCTAGGAACTCAATATTAATAGCACGAAGTGATTCCCCTTTCTAAAACTAAAGCTACATTGGATCTAATTGGGCTTTGTTGTCAACTGTAAACTTGAAAAGCATAAACATACGTTTTCAAGCTTCCATGTGTAGCGATTACGGCCCGAGCCGCCATTAAAAACCCAGGGCGACATCAAGATTCCCGGATCGTCACCGACCTCGACTTGCCATACTGATGATGCTGAGATTTTTAAGCGATGACAATCTAGCTAACAATCTGTACGTTTGCGTGCGCAGCGCAGTTCCACGGAGCCATTCTGAATACCGCTTGACGTGACGGTGATAAAAACCCCGGGCACAAAGGTTGGCAGCGTTCTTTGGAGCGTTTGAGAGAGACAGATCTGATTCTTTCTGAAAATGTTAATGGTAATACCGTGAACGTGAAAAAACTTAGCTTACCCGAAAAATTCGGTCGGCGTCGTCATCGCCAAACCGCGATACATTTCTAGCTGCAGCTCACCGGTGTACGCTAAGGCAAATCCTAGGACTCCGCTTTGGTTCAGGTAACGATTGAAAATTATTGTGGCTGTATCCTCATCCGCCTCCCAAACCAATGTTGTTTTTTGGTCTTCTTCACTCTCCGAATCGCAGTTGTTGGTGATCAGGTTGCTTGGCGGCGCTGAAACCGCTGAAAGCTTCTTGGCGTAGTTGAAGCTTTACCCAACGTTGCGATAATAGAAAACGGCCGTGCATCCGGGCCGCTGCGCATAATGCGTATTTCAAGAGTACTTGTGTGCTGACTGGATATCGCCAAGGGATAGGTATTGTTAGTCCTAAACTTTGCTAGTTTTCCGCTAGCGCCGAGCACTCACTGCCGAGCTAATTGCACTGGGTTATAAAGGTCAGTTTCACCACCGGTGATCAAATACCCTTCCGGTGGAGACATTATGTAGAGGTGGTAAACCCATTGGTTCCACGGGCAATTTCCAGCGCCGTTTGAGGTTAGAACATAGGTTATCTCGTCCTCCAGCGTTGATAAACCTTCAGATCCGATTCTTATGAAACGTTGGAGACATGGATCGACGACTACGTTAGGTGCTCGATCTTAATTAAGCCTTTCAGCATCACGTGATAAAGAAAACCACCTTCGAACAGGAAAAAGTCTATTTTCACGCCATTGGTTTGATCATATTTCGAAGAATCGCTTCCGTAATATCGAATAACCCATGCAACACCATGCGCGATTCCAACATATTCGTTTCGATCGCTTGTAATGTTGAAAGTCACATGCCTGAACAAATCATAACATTTCCTGATCCTCTACCGGTTTGTGGCATATAGCGAATCGCTGGTCGAGACATTTACTTGGGGCTTGATGCGGAGAATCGTGTACCCATCGGTGTTACTAAAATCACAAGAAGTGATACGGAAGGTGAAGAAGCCTAAGAACGTTGCCACCCCTCTTACATCTCCCATGTACAGTCCATCCCGGGGAACATTTGGAATACGCTGCCATAGCCGATTTCCAGGGTCCATGTCCCTCCAGGGCTCATGGTGAGTGGAGCTTCAGGACAACTCTGATTTGAAGTCATGATGGTTCGAGATCCCGTCTAAGCGAAGCCTAACTCCATTTTCATAATCCGTAACGATACCTGTACACTTTCTGCCAAACCGCAGACCGGAAAGAATAGGCAAATCCTAAGCAAAATTTCACAAAGTGCCATTTTCTCTTCCGGCCCGCGTGGCAAGAAACGTTTGAAACTATGGAAACGCGCTAGAGCAGAAGTCCAAAATGAAAGATGAAATGAAACGCTGGGGGAAAGGTCTCTGTTAATCCAGAAGATAAGCGATGCTTCGAGACGAAAAAGCCCTGGTTGTTTGTACTTTAGACAGCGTGTTTGACATGCTCGGGGCTTTTCAGCCCCGTATCATGCAAAATTGTTTATTAACTGGATCAACAATTAAAATATAGAATACATTGATAAAGGTAATTAAACCGCGCGTAAAGCTTACCGAAGCCGGCAGCTCATAGGTCCCCCCAAGTGAGTATCCGCAAAGTGAATTTCGTAAAAATTGTATACCTACTGCAAAAACAGATCCTGCCCGCAGCCATCCGAGTAAAGTTACGTAAGTCATGGTTTACGAATTAAATGGTCTGTGCCTATGGAGGAACAATGCCACGTGCTATTCAAGTGGACCTGCTCAGACCATTATCGCCCTTTTCCGAGCTGCAAATTTTTGATGCCAACGACCCGAAATCGACGGCCCGCACATAATGCCATCGTTCTGTTTTCGTATCCAAAACCTGCTCCAATTTTATAGCCCGTTTGCAGATTGAACACTTCCATCACCACGTGCCAATACTTCTTCAATACGTCCCGATTGCGTTTGGAATATTCTGACAAGCACGTCAAGGCCCACGTTTTGGCATCTCGAGAGCATCGTTGTTATTCATGCAAATAATATGTAATTTTCTATAACATATATCAGCAGGCCAATGAAGTGCTGGCTACCCAACGCTAACAATGCCCCCAATCAAATCCCCCAATCTGAAACGAGCCTTCCGAGTGTTGGCTCGAGAACCAGCAGGAAGCAGGAGCACGAGATTTGCACCCATCTTGTGGATATTTGTCGACAAACGCGCAGTGGCGGGCGGTGGAAAACGAGGGGAAGAAGAGAACCGGGCGTGATATGATTGATAATTGGTTATTGGAGTGCTTCGAGTCTAGCGCTGATCTTTATGCCACAGGCGGGAAGATCAATACCTAGGATTTCAAATTTCGAAAAGAATTTTTTGCGGCCCCCTCCGAAATGTCGCTGCCCCCCCCCACCCCCCGAAACTTGGGGCCAGCTACGCCCCTGGTGCGGGCGGTTCGCATGTTAGCTTTGCTATATCTGTATCAAAATTGCATTAGTTGAGCTCGACAGCTTCCATCAAAAAATTTTATTCACCGCGATCTGCGAGGCGTAGGGAAAAGGGTTTACTCCGCTCCCTCCCCCTCTACCAAAGGCAATACCGCAAACTTTTGTAGTAGAAACTTCTATAACCGGAGGAATTTTTTAAAGAAATGATTTTGCATGGATGCCGCATTTCGGACGCTAAGGCACGGTACCTACCCGGAAGACTACAGGCTCCCAGCCCCTGGCTCTTTTGGGGGGAACATGCTAGGGGACGGCTACCGTCCAACTTTCACTTTCGCTTGGAACAGCCACCCTGCCTTGTCGGCGATTGGGTCTGGGGAGTAGGGGGGTGTCGCGCCTGTAAAAACACTGCGCATTTTGGACTGGGACAAATTTCTTGCTCTCTTTCTCTGTCTCCCTCTATCTCACACTTGCCCACTCTCTGTCTCTCTTTCTCATTCTCTCTCTCTCTCTCCTTACCTTGTGGTTGCCAATGATAGCTTTAAATTACTTCTTGTCGCGCTTCTGTGCCAGGGTGCAAATGTAAAATTGACAGTTACCCGAATAATTTATAAGGAACCAACAGCAATGATAAATAAAAACTATTTTAATACCCAAACAAATCAAAGTCAATTTCATAGATGGCCCTCAGTAGCCTCCTAGTTGGTGCCGAATCCAGAACAATTTGTTTAAGCTGGTCACGTTTTGACGAGTCAGCCGCATGCCAGGTCGTCGACTCGGTGATGTGGGCAAGACCCTAAAAGTGATTCGTTATAGACGTTTTTCTTAAGATGATAACACCAGCAAACCGATGTTTTTCTTTTAATACATTGCCACCTACCCGGTCCATAACTTCCTTTGGAATTTGGGCCTTCTCGAAGAGTAGTTTCAGCTGCCCGATAAACTCGTTCTTGTCGTTGGTGTAGTAGATGACCTCATAGTCATCAGTTCCCTTTCGCAGCCCACAAAATCTAAAACAAAACATTGGAAATGTTTGTGCTCCAGATCGAATTTTGATCCGAGCGCGTGCGGCGCGTCACTCGCTGCTCTTGGACATTATCGGATGATCTGGTTACCTTCGTGATACGGAACGCAGCCGCACGCTTCCAAATATAAAATACTACAGCTTACTGCGCTTGCGGTACTGCATGACCTCGAATCGGGCGCTTCGTGTTCACGTAATTTTGCTGACCATTTACCAGTGCGTTATAAACGTCCTGCGCAAATTTCTTGATCCCGATGTTCTCGCAAAGCTTATCGTGCCTAAAGCACAAGGTTAAAAATTGTAAAATTCCCGAAGGAGTTCGAAAGAAAGCTGAGACGTACTGGCAAAAGTGGCCATATAACGAGACGAAACGATCGATAGGGTCCCGCACGATCGTGAATTTGATCGGCTTCTCCGGGATTTTCCACTTTTGCACAGGGTGCTTGGCGAAGAATTCCTGATTTTCCCAGCAGTCGCTAAAATAAGCCATTTTCGGAAGGATATTAACCGTTTTGCCGGTGGTACTTAGAAAGCGCAATCCTAATTTGATCAATCCATCAATCGATACCATCCAGAAATCTTGAATCAACTTACTTATGCGCCTCGTGAAGTGTGCTGTTAATGGAC